TAAAAATTTTTTTATGCTTTCATTTAAAACTTGGAAGACTTCATATATAAATGTGAATTACCAATTTCTCTTGAAAAAATGTGGATGAATTCACATCACTGGGCCTAAATTCCTGCACAGCAACAATGTGCTATGGGTGTGTAGCAACTACTGGCCCCTGTACATATGCCAATACATAACTACTGACCTCTTACCTAGACTATCTGCAAAGGGCCAGACAGTAAATACTTTAGGCTTTGTGGGCCATTTGTGTGTGTGTGTGTGTGTGTGTGTGTGTGTGTGCGCATAAAAAATAAATATATAGATGCTAGGCTCCAGGAAGGCTCCCAATGATTCTCCTAATATTCACACCCTTTTATATACTTCCCTCCCACATTGTACCAGGATTGGACTGTGTGACCATAAGACTAAGACAAACAAGATATATCGCTTCTAAGATTATGATATTTTAAAAGACACTGCTGGCTTACATATCGACAGTCTACGTCTCTCAGACCATTTGCTTGAGGGGAAGCCAGCTGCCATGCCATGAGCAGCCCCAGAGAGAGCCCCACGTGATGAAGAATTGAGGCATCCAGTCAATCGTCTCAAAGTGATTTTGAAGGCAGATACACTAGCCCCAGTCATGTCTTCAGATAACTATAGCCCAGGCTGACAACTTTACTGCAAGCTTATGAAACATCCTAAGCCAGAACCACCCAGCTAAGCTGCTCCCAGGTTCCTGACTATGACAACAATAAATGTTGGGTATTTTAATTTGCAAAGTTTTGGGGTAATTTGTTATACAATATATGTATATTTGTGTGTGTATACACATATTTGTGTGTTTATGTGTGTGTGTGTGTGTGTGTATACATACATGAATAAATCAAGAGAAACACTCATTCTCTCTATTCTTTATTCTACTGGAAAAAGTAGGATAATCAAATGAGTTAAAAAACTCTGCTAGAAATTTAAGGTTTTAAATCTCAACTGCAGTTTCAACACTCAGTATCCTATTTAACCTTAGTTATCTTA